TTTTTACTATTTAGAACCTCCAAATTCTTCCTCTTTTAAAGGAATATCACAATGTGTTTCTTGTCCCCACTTTCCATTAAGGAAGCCAAAGAGGCCGATTTCCACTTCAAGAAAGCTAAGGAGCTACAGACATATTATCTAGGCTTAGCTAATCAGATTATTCTAACCAAAAATTTGAATCCTGGATAAATTAGGTTAATAATGCAGGAGAATTGGAAAAAAATTATTCATGATGGTGTCAACAATATTGAGAGTTTAACACAGCACTGAAAGTGTGCCCTAATCTGTACTGTTGCATGAATCTGTGCTCCCAACTGCCTAGCCCTTCGGGGTTCCTATCCACTACCATTGTCTAAGGTACTAGCTCACAATGTCATGCTGTCCTCTACTCTATAACCTTTCACATAAAGTCTATGTGTGTTTTAGTTTTCAGATGCAGTTTCTATTGCTTGCAAAAATGAGCTCTGACTATTGCAAGTGGAAAAGAGACAGACAGGAACTGAGAAGACACCTCAAGTGAGTGGAGTGATGAATAGTTATAAAATAACATGATATGTCTAGGAGATGCTAATGAAACTTCTAGGACTAGAGAGGGGAAAGACATGAAATACTCAGAAGATATAGTAAAGATAGTTCTGAGGCTAGGGCAAACAACACGTATCAGGAAGTAGGGTTAAATAATAATAACTAAGCAATTTCCTAGATTTTATTCTTTTATCCTCTCAGATAAATTATTCATTGACTTTTTCTTATATGTCAATAACTTCTGTCAGCTCTGAGCATGTAAAAAGGGCAAAATCCTTGTTGTCAACAAGATACTAGTCTTTAACAGTGCATTAATGGATTTCAGGATACAAATTCCATTCATCTTTCACTCTGACCATTTAGATATCTCTCTCCTCTCTCTCCCTCTTCCCCCCTTCCTCCCTCAAGCTAATTATTGCCACTCATTTATTATTTTAAAAACTAACAGACATAGAAATTCTTAAGTAATATTTTCAATATCATATAATCCTCTAAGAATAAAAGTAAGAGAGTGTGTATGTTCTGAGGGCAGTATTCTCTATTTTAACACCACTTAACTATTTGTTATAGTCAATTATGATTTATGAGTCTAGTGTGAAATAATATAGTACAGAAGAGAGGGAATGGAAAATCTACATATGAGAGCAGAAAGACTGGTGCCACCAAAGGCTACCCTTGTAGTTATCACTTGACCCAGCTGCCACTATGCACTTATGAACTTGGACTCTTACAAAGCCCTTCTTCCTGGAATACACAGTCCTGGATTAAAAGTCTGTTGCTACAATTTTGATAATCCTCTTGAGACTGTAATCAAATAGGATAGGAAGTTTAAAGCACAAAGCAATGTAAACTTACTAATCAGAAAAGGACCATGAAAAAATTTCTCTCTCACATCCAGACAGTGACATCTCAATATTTTTCCAAATCTCCCACTACTGTGAGAGAATAAAAGAACTAGAAAGGTATGCAGTAGGCTCTAAGATAAAATTACAGGATCCAGAGCTGCGCCTACACAGCACTGATTCTCCAAACCTAGTCCTTACTCACAGATGGATGCCGCAGCTTCCTAAGCCATCTACAAGCCACAACAGCATACATCTATAATCCCACCAGTGTTATTGCTGTAGCCCTAATTTCCTAAAGACTCTTTATATGGTAGTGTGTTGTGGTAAAGTGAAATTAATTAGCTAGGAAGAACTTCTCCTGTGGGGTGCCACTGTGTTACAGGTATGCCAAGTTCTTGATATCCTTAACTCTAGGATTTATCATACAAGGTCTGGAATAGTGAGAGCTACAAGACCCATCATGGTCATTGCAAGCAGGCCTCAATGTTTGATGACAGTATTATTTTCTCTCTTTGAGACGATGTGAACAAGGATGGGAAGCCCTATGTAGAATCACTACTCACTACCTCTTTAAACTAAGAACTCTGAGAGCACAATCCAGTCAGGATCCACACAGGCCCCAGTAGAACTCTGCCAGGAAGAGCTAACAGGGGCATGGACTTCCTGATGGTAACTCTAGGACCGGGGTGTTCTGGGGCGGAGAATCAATACATGTACTATGACCAGGTTTGCAAATGCCAGCACATGGAGTACTGCCACTGCAGCCAGAGAATGTCTTAAACATCTGTCTAAATTTCAGACTCCAAACATAGTGGAGGGGCATGTGTACGATGGCACCTGGTGCCAGACTAGGGGCGTCAGTTGCAAGCTACCTTTGGAGGAAACAATTTAAGCCCCTTTATTTCTTCTCCCTATTACTCTTAAAGATGAGCAGGCACAGGGAACATATCAATGGGGCATTATAGGAGTATGTCGAGTGATATGCTGTTTATTGAAACTAAATTGATTCTTGTACCTATGAATGTCAAACTCCATTTAACCAAAAGAATGCCTACCACCTCTAGTGCTAGCATCAGGAGTATACTTTCATGTCCCCTACCACTCAAATGGTATTAAGGAACTTGATGGCTTATAACTGGCACTGTGAGAAGACATCCACTGAGCATTTGTTTTACCCTCCTGAACACCTAAAGACCTATCTTTATGTTTGGATATTGGATATATAGTCAATAAACAATATCCATTCTTTCCTTCTTTCTTAGTAACAGAGCTCTGATTTAATTAGGGGCAGGGAGTCGTGAGCCCAGGTGAAAGGCTACATTTCTAAGAGTCCCTTGCAGCTGGATAGGGCTAAATGACTCAATTGCATTCAGTCACCTGAAATAATAAATTGTGGAATAGCACATTCCAGAAAACTACCTAACAAATGGTGGAGGAGTCATCTTTGCCATTTCCAACACTTCCTGTCACCACTTTCCTACTGTTTGCTGACTAGGATTCAGAGATGTCTAGAGCATGCTAGCCATCCTTAACTATAAGACCAATATGAGGGTGAAAGCCAGCATATTGTGTCAGGATGGAAGCCAGCAATAAGGATAGTGGAGTTACTTCTGTATAATAAAATCCATTTTAATGTTCAAATTGATGAGTTTTGGGAATAATGTACAGTTGTGTAATGATGATTATTGCCATCCAAAGCTCTCTTATGAAGTCAGCCTTTCCCCCAACCTCCAACTGTACGCAACTACTAATCGGCTTTCTATCACTATAGTTGGGCCCTTTCTAGAATGCTTTTGAGGGTTCATCTCTATTGCACGTATCAGCAGTTTGTTCTGTCAGTGGATGGATGTTTGGGTTCTTTGAAAATAAAGTGGCTATGAACATTCAAATAACTGAATGAATGAATGAATAAATAAATAAATGAAAAATAAAATAAAAAGAGGAGTGTGGATCTATTAAAACTGTGGAATTACCATATGAACCCCAGAATCCTTTTACACAAGGGAGGAACAAAGCTTTGTCTTATTTACACAACTATTGAGTGTTCTGTTTTTTGTAATTAAAGCAAATCCTAATTGGCATATCTCCTTGTACACTATGAATTTTGTATGTGTCTGAGGCTGTAGATATAAAAATTTGCATAGGCCCGGGAAATCAGAAGAAGAATCTTCATTGCCAATGCAAAAAGAGAAATGGGTTCTGTTGTTCCAGTAGCAAGAGAAGATAAACTTCAAGGATCTTATGTGGTGGAGACTATTATAATAAAAAATGGTAATTAGAAGAAACCAAAAGCTACTACTAAGTTAATGCATTAGGATAGAATTTGATAAGCAAGAGAGGAGTATTTAAACTTTTAAAATACATAAATTAATTTTCAAAAGCAAACCAATTAAAAACTGAGTCAAAATTGAGGACAGGCATCTCACAGAAGCACAAATGGCCACTAAGCATATGCAAAGACACACAACACCATTAGCAAGAAGGGAAATGAAAATTAAAAGAGGTGTTTTACAGGCAAAAGTTTTGAATCTAACGACTGCAGGTATTATAATGATGTGCCAGATTAGACCATGTGAAATGGGTTTATGTACAGGTGAATCTCAGAAACTTCTATGTGTAGACAAACAAGAAGACTATGATTCATTGTATATAATACAACACCAGAATATAACTTTATTTTTATGGAACGGTACATATATAATTATTTTGCAAAAAAAAACTGCATGGAAATGAGTAATACAAAATTCAGCATAATGTTATTTCTGGGTGGGAGGGATATACTTTAGGAAAAGCCTTCCTACAAGGCTTCAAAAATAATGATATTTTTCTGCATCTTCAGCTCTGTAGTAGTACCTGGATATTCTTTTGATTATTATTCCTTAAAATGTGAAAATATGGGATGCATTTATATATGTATATTTCACAATAAAAATTTGTTAAAAATTCAGAGAGGTTTGAAGGAGAGAAAATTGAGTACATCAGCAAGTTCTAGACTGTGAGTCAGGATTTCCTTGTTACTATGTAACCGAACAAAATAAAGAATTCTCCTGGCTTTTGAGGCTGATGTAATATGGAACCTTCAGCCTGTAACCTCTATTTTAAATGTTCTTGTTTTTCACCCTTGTTTCACTGTTTTCAATTATTTTTATAAGTACTTCAGTACAAAGGTGATTTTATATAATACTTTGCAAATTAAATATCATCTTTGTCTACTTTGGTTTTCCAAATAAAGTTTCCATTAAAAAAAAAGGACAACGTGGTTCTTTAATTTAAAAAAGTTTGAAAACAACCAGTGTACTCGAGTTAAATGCAAATTTTAAAGCCTGTTATCAAAATCAGCTGTCCGTAATTGGTGAGAGGGCTTCCCAGTGGGAACTTAGACCAGTTTCTAAGAGACGGACGGCTCACCATTTATCATTGGAGAAAGAGGATGGAACTTCAGCCCGACTACACTCCTTCCCTTCTCCCCACTAGTTCAGGACCTACAGAAAAGCTCTCAAGGCTTTCATCCGCTCCCCCGCCCCCACCCGCACAAACCAAGGGGGCTTTGGCCAAAGAACCAGAGCCCCGCCCATTAGTAAGCCCCGCCCCCTGGGCTGGAACGCTCCGCGTGCGCCTTTTTGGAGGAGGGGCTGGCTGGGCTCGCAGCCGGGAGGGCGCGGGTACACTTCTCTGTACCGCCATTCTCAACATGAGTCTTGGAAGAAGAGTCACTGCTGGTGGCCGGGTTCCCACACCCCGGTGAGTAACCTGGGGAATCCGGGTCCCGCAGACTCGGCTGCGGCGAGCACGGGGCCCAGAGCCAGCGCCTGCGCGCTCGTCCGCCAGCCAATCTGCTCGCCGCTCCCCACCCACGGCCTTTGACCCTGCGCCCGGAGGGTAGCTGTCGGAGGTGGCGAACGGCGGTCCACTGGGTCCCGGGCCACCACGTTCAATCACTCTTACCCCTTATTTTTGTTTGGGCTGTTCTTTTTGCCTTCTCTCTTGCTTTATACCAACCCCGCTGGTTTCGTCCCTGCCACTTTGGAATGGAACCTCCTCCACTCGCCTAGGTTTTTCCCTCCTCTTCCAACAAATTCCGGGAGTGACTCAAGCCTCTCTGCACCATGTTCCTTTATTCTCAGACCTGCAGCCTGGCCTTGAGCCTGTGGGGAGAATGAAAGGACCTAGGCCTAACCGGCTCGGGGTGCTGCGGGAAGGTCGGCGATTGCCTCTCCCCCGGTGCCTTTAGGCGTCGGGAGAGGAGAGCAAGGATGGCGAGGCCCTACGGAGATGGCTTTTCCATTCACCTGTTAACGTGTTCGGCACTGTCATCGTAGACTTACGTTTTGCTGAGTCTCAAGGTGCAACTATGTTGGGCTAGTTTTACCGTTTTCCAAAGGAGCAAGTTGAAATTTAGGCAGTTAACTATTGTTTTGGTTTCGTTATTGCAAGACCTTACAGATAGCTTTTAAGGTAAAATGTAGAAGCGTTTAAAAAAACAAAGGGTAATGTGATACGAACTTAAAAAAGGACAGATAGGACTGAAATGGGTTGTGTTAATGTATTTAGACAATAGTTTGAAGAAAAATACAAAATAAAATGTAAAGATTAGTAATAGTAAGTCACATTGCAAATCATTTTCATGATTGTATATTACTCCATTTACATTAAGCTATATGTAGACCCTGAAAAAATGTAGTGAATCTTGGGACTTTCAGGCTCCTCCATAAAACAGTCACGTGATGAATAGTAAGTGTATGATCAGAAAGTAAGCAGTCTTGAGATTAAATCTGGGCTACAGTTTATGAGAAAGTAACATACCATCTCTGTTTACTAGTCCATAATGTTTAAATGAAAATATGACCACATGTCAGCAGTTTTCATCGATGTCACAAAAGTTACAGTGTTATATTCTATAAAATTGGTTTGTGTAATATATTGTAGGAAGGTGGAATGGAATGAGGACAAAAGCTTGAGTTCTAGAGCCAGAATTGCCCTGCTCCTTACTTAACCTAAGACAGGTTGCTTAACCTCAGGTTATTTACCCTTTGGTAACTATTGTATAAAGTTATTAATTGCTCTGTACCTTAGTTCTATCTTCTGTAAAATAACATTAAAAACAATTTCTACTGCATAGGTTATTGTGAAGATTAAAATGGAAGGATGAGAATTTTCGTTAACCAAAAGGTACAGGTGTTTACTTGAAACTGAAGTGGGCAGGAAGCCTTGCTGCAGAAACTGATTTTGAAAGTTCCAGCCAGATGTGTCTTCTAGTATTAGTTTCTCTGCAACGACTTCTTAGAAAATAAAATTAGAAGAAAACAATACTAAGAAAAAAAAACAAAAACCCACTAGCTGTCTGTATAATTTAATAACAGGTAATTAAAAAGTAAAATTTTTTTGACTTTTCTCAGTAACAGGTTAACAGCAAATACTTTTTTATCTACTTAATAATTTATTGTATTTTTTATAACCATTTAGTCCCCTCTGTTTTCCATGTCCATGAGTCGTTTTTCCTTTTTGCTCAGTTGCAAATTCATTTGAAATAATAGTCGAAGGTGCCTTGTTAGCGCAGTAGGTAGCGCGTCAGTCTCATAATCTGAAAGAATAGTTGATAGTATATTGCTTTTTGTTCTTGGACCTCACTAGACCTCCAAGTCAAAAACTAGCATTTCAAAGATTAAAAGCACAAAACACAAATAGAAACCATAAAATTTCAAAAGAACCTATTACGCAATGTAAACTGCATTTGGAAAATAACAGATTTTCAATAGCCGATACCTGGAGTAGGTTCCTGCTTTGAGAACCTATATATCTGCAATTAACTTGCAATTTTTTTTTTTCTCTCAAGTCACCTCTGAAACTTCTTTCTATAGTTTCTGAAGCCAAGTAAGTATTGGGTTGGCCAAAAAGTTTGTGTAGTTTTTTTCTGTAAAATGGCTGTAGTAGTGCTTAGCTGTCTTTAACTTCATTCGAAACAACTTTGTTAGATTGTATTTTGACAGCTGTCTTATCAGCGGTGCACTTAAAAACTTATCAAAACTGGTGAATTTTTGTGCAGCCATTTTAATATTAAAGATGGAAGAAAATATGTAACATTTTTGGTTTATTATGCTTTATACTTCAAGAAAAGTAAAAATGCAACTGAAACACAAAATATTTGTGCAGTGTATGGAGAAGGTGCTGGGACTGACTGAACATGTCAAAAGTGGTTTGCCAGTGTAACGGGGCACAGCCAGGGCTCCCCCAAAGGGTATTTGTAACGGGGTCAGAGATTGGGGTGTCCAAGAAAAATGTATTCTCCCCACCCCAGGGCAGGCCGCCATGGTGGACGGGAGCCTTGAGCAGGGCCCTTGAGAGTCATTTTGCATGTCAATAACAGGATAGCCTCATTCCTCATATGCAAAGAGGGTTATTTGCATATCACCAAAGCTAATCAGGAAGGCTAAAAAAGACTTAATAGAGAATGTAACTGAGAGAGAAAGGGGAGAGACAGGGGCCTACAGGAGAGACAAAGGGATACAGACTCTGGGGAACAGTGTGAGGACCATGCGGGAAGAAAGAGGGGAGAAAGGACTCTTGCTAGTGGGCCATGAGAAGGTGCCACATGGTTATGGATTAAGAGCTTGAGATCGCAGTGACGCAGTGGATGGTGCTGAGACCCATGAGAGGCCTGCCTACCTGAGCCCTGAGCAAGGATGGTACCCCTGACTGGCCTAACTCGGCAAAGGAAGGGAAGGCAGGACGATGTGTGTGTGCTGGTGATTATTTTGAAGGGATTTTGAGGTTTAAGGGTGACATTTAGCCATTAATCAAACCTGTGAAACTTTTGAATAAATAGTTCCTTTCCTTTTCACCAAACTGCCATTCAGAGCCATAATTCCAAGAGCGGCGGGCAAAGGATCCACAACTGAGGGGTCCTGGGGAAGGGGGGGTCGTTGTTTCGGTAATGGCATCTGGGCATCCCCCGCAAAGGGTCCTTTTGTTCGGTAACACGAGGTTTCTTGGTTCTGTTGACATTTTGGACAAATAATTCTTTGCTGTGGGGCTGTCTTATGCATGGTTAGCAGCACCTCTAACCTCTACCCACTAGAAATTAATAGCGGGAAATAGCTGACATACTCAAAATATCCAGATCAGTAAAGTTATTGGTGAAAATGAAAAATGTGTCTTTTATGGGGAAAAAACTAAACAGACTTTGGCCAACCCAATAGTTCCTCTATTCCTTTCATGTGAAATCATTACACTTATTAGGCATTTCAAGGGTCATTGTGGTTTTGCTATGTTGGACATGGTAATTTTTATTCAAATGGATTTTTTAAATTATTATATCTATATATCCATTTTCCTATATAATAAGTTCATTATATGCTATGAACATGTTAAGCATATGTATAGTCAGTAGAATCTGTCTCTACAGATATTGCCCAAATACAGTGTCCGGCAGAAGTAACGCCTGCCTGAGTGAGGTTGGTAGGGTAATAATAATATGGGTGTAATAATTTACATTTTTAATTTGAACATTTCACCTAAAATGTCATATGTTGTGCTTGAGTGTGATACTGTTATGTTACAGAATTACATTTTTATGATTTTGTAATAAAAGATTTTGTAATCAAAAAGGGATGTTATTTGTACCAGACCCTGTATATCCCAATGTCAAAACCAAAGGGCCAGAAATTAAATTGTTTAAGCTGAACACTTAATGGTCACTGACTATGTATAAGATATATTGGGCTCTACTAGATTGGAAAGATGAGGACTATTTCTGGACCTTAAGGAGCAATGTAGTAGGGGGTATAATACATGTAAATGAATAGCTTGGGGCAATACAAAAGAAAGGAATGCCAATTTAAAAAGCAGGTAATGCTATAACAAGAGAATATATGAGAAAGTGAGTGATTTTTTGCTCTGGAACCATTAGAGGTTCCAAGAAGAGACAACATTTCAGCTTTGTCTTGAAGGATAAGTAGTAGTAGTTTAAAAGTTAGCCATACAGAGAATAGGCATTTAGAGAGTATAAACCATCTTTTGGATAGTATTTGTTTGCCAGACACCCATCTTTGATAGTGCTCATCATCACTATAAATGTTCTTTCATATTTATTCAGTGTTTACACTAAGCCAGAATGATTCTAAGAGTTTTATATTATTTTGTCCTCACTAAAATCCTATCAATGAGGTAATAACTTGTTGTAGAGATGAGGAAAAAAAGCAGGGAAAGATCAGATCACTTGTACAGGTGAAAGAGCTAAAAAAGGATACAGCTGGAATTTGAACTCATTTGAACTGCAGAGCCCATACTTTTAATCACAAGGATCTGCTTGCTACCTTATGATGGAGAGGACTTGTTTGAGACATGGAGGTTGGGATAGAACCAGTGGATCAGCTCTAATGATGTAATTTTTTTTTTTTTTTTTTAGGTAAGTGAATTAGTAATGTTAAAAAATCGGGGCGGGGGGGGGAGCAGTTTCAGAACTTGACAGGCAAGAGAAGGAAAAAGGAGGCGTCAACTTCCATAAAAGGATTTTTTTAAATGTATGTTTTATGTTCACTTATAGATCAGAGAAGTGTATGTAATAAGTATAAAAAAGAGTTTCAGAATGTTTCCTATATTTCTTTTTATTTATTTTCAAATCCAGTCAGTACTTACCAATTGATTAAATCATTATTCTTTTACACTTAAACATACACTGTAAGTCCTCACTTATGTTCTCAATAGGTTTTGTGACTTTAAGCAAAACAATTTATAACGAAACACATTTTGCCACAGACTAATTGACATAAACAAGACAAATTCCTGCATCTTATCAGCATTATAACAAAACGACATTTAACAAAACAAAGTTATTCCAGGACCTGCTATCTTTAGCAACAAAAAAATGATCAGAGTCAAATCCCATGCAAAGCAAGTATAGGCAAAAAAGTTAACATACATGTAAATACTGAAAGCATGCTGGAAATATGATCACAAAAATCTGACAACTGTAATATTTAAGTTGAAGTAAACAAAATAATGAGGTATGAATGAATAAATTACAAATATGAAAACTCAGAAATGAAGTGATATTAATCAGAAAATAATAATTGGCAGAAAAATTGCTTCATAAGTTATTTTTTAAATGATAACTAGAAAAACATTAATTCCTTATGAGAAATGAAGGGTAAAGAGAAACTTAGAAATCAAAATAAAAAGAGGTGAAAAAGAAAGTGCACAAAAATTTAATACAAGTAGTAGGACTTTCTGTAGAAAAAAGGCAAAGCAAGTGAAACAACAAATTTAAATAGAAAATAATTTGCTGACAATAAAAAAGCAGATGTCAGTAGGTTAGCTCATTTCTTAGTGCAAAGATAAGGGAGTTCCTTTATGATTATTTATGTTTTCACTGAGTTACAAGACATGGCTATTTGAAGACATTGAAAAAAGTTGATGATGTAGTAGCAGGTTTGATGAAAAATGAGAAGGAATGAAATAATCCTTTTTAGAAAATGAACATACTTGGGTATAGTAATAGGATTGTTAAGTAGTCTCGAGTGTTGGTTTGAAACTTCTGGCTATGAACTGAAAATGAGAAGTCAACAAGGTTGTGCATTTTTGTCCAGGACCATTCGGTGATTTTAGATCAAGAGGAAGACAGGCATTTATTTGAGGGTTTCCCATTGTAAGTATTAAGAAAGGAGAAAAGGAGAGTGAGTCCAGGGTATTTGCAAGTTAGTAATTACAGTGCTGCACTATGGGATATAAATTGCATCACCAGAGACAAAACACAAAGAAAAGGAGAAATAGTAAAATAGTGGTAGTCAGTGGGTTGGGCATCTCAGTTAGATCAAGGAATTGCCACATTAAGAATACTAGTGGGAGGGGATCAAGCACAGAAGATTATATTTAGATAATGAAAAAAATGGAGAGATTTTGGTCAGTGGTATAAATGAAAATGACTGAGACACTTGGGTATGTGAAATGGGGTGGAAGAACAGATCATTAGAAGTGAGGCAGCCAAGGATTGGTAGGCTAAACTACTGTGTGGATCATCCATGTTGGTAGTCGCTGGGTAGGAATGGAGTAATAGACATTGGGTAGGAATGAAGACAGACAGTTGCTAAAATCATCTCTAAATGGGAGATTGTTATATTCAGAAAGTGGTAAAGTTTGGTGACTTGAATGTCTCTTTTTAATAGGTGCTTCATCCTTCTAATCTGATTATGCCCATATTTTGTTTACCCAAATAAGCACTGAATGGTTCCAACATGCCACTATAGCTTTGCTTTTACCTCACCATCTTGTTTTCTGTGCTGCAGCCAAAATACGCCTTATTGTCCCATGTCCAGTGTTTTTAGACATACTGTTCTCTGACAGAATTCTCTTTTTCCTTCTTTTCCACTAGCTGATGCATATTATATTCATTCTTTCATGATTTTACTATTGAAGAGTGTTGAGTCTTGAAGAGTTTTCTTCACCTCCTTAGTTTATGTGACGTTGCATTTCTTTATGTGCCTTTCACTTCTTTTTTGGCACTTTTCTTTTGAGTTGTAGTTATCTGCATGTCTTGACTTTCCTCATGGATTCTTAAGTACCTTGAACATAAAAATTGTCTTATTAATCAACCTAGCATACTACTTGTATACATAATACATTTGCTCAATTGAAAGTGAGTTACACACCTTTTTATTTCCTAAAGGTTTTTTTTCTTTTTGATATTTCAACCAAATGAAAAAGTTTTTGTTTGTTCCTGGGAGAACAATAAGGATTCAACTCTATCTTAAAGTCAACTATCTCTGCTTTTATAATGCTTGTTTTAGCTTAAATCTTATATTATTGATTTATTTCATGACATACTTTAATGAGTTCAGCTTAGTGTGGTCACAGTGTATTCATGTATTAACAGTATTAAAATATAATAAAAACATTGTGGGAGGGAGTCACTAAATTAGTCCATTAGGAATAACAGAAAGTGTTACTTTGATATTTTCTAAGTTTAGGAAGGAGATTATTTGACAAAAAAGCATTTTTATCCAACTAGTGAATTACTGTAATTATAAAACAAAATCCCAGACCCACCTACCTATTCCTTTGCTATGTAAGTCCATTTTCATGACTTTTTATAAGAAAGAAGGAACTGATAGGATGGAATGCATGGAGGAGGAAGAGGTAGGATACCAGGTAAAATGTCAGAGAAGGTTTAGTAATCAGTACTGTTTTCTATATTTCAGATACTTTGAATTATATATAATTATACATATTTATAGTATATGTAGGTATATGTAAGGTATATATAAGATTAACATGCATAGTATATGCATACATATATACTATATATGGTTTATATATGGTATATGGATATACTGTATCTACTTAAATACAATTTTGAAACTGGGCAAAACAAAATAGTAGTATACTTATGTTTTGGGAAAACTATTTAAAAAGGTGAGGGAATGGTTAACACAAAAGTCAAGTGGTTTCTCTTAAAGAGAAAGGGGTAGGGTTGGTGATTGGCAGAGGGCACGAAAGGTGGAGATGGGCTTTTAAAAGCTGGCAATTTTAGTTTTGAGTGTTTATGTTGAGTTTTAGCCCTGAAAGAAATAATTCTTCCTCATCTTGGTATTTCTTGGATATATATGCAATAGAAGCATCAGTTTGTAGAAAGTTGTATGTGACAGAAATACTTGCTTTACAGATTAAATTTTATTTGTCTGTATATAGAAGTATTTATTTGGACATAAAATAATTTGTTTTATTTTAAGTCCAAATAAATACTTCTATTTAGTCTAGCCATATATAGATTATGTTGTAGATGTCAATATTTGATGTAATTAATATACTAATGCGCTGTAAAATTTTTTCAGTGTAATGAATTTTATGGACTTGAGTTTTAATTTTTGAATATTTTGGAAAGTTTTAATACCACTTACTAATTATTGTTTTTCAATAAATTACAGCTAAACATTTATCATTTTGGAGTTTAAAGTATGTCATCATGGCAAAGTTTCGAAAAAGGACTTGCATCATTTTGTCACTTTTTATCCTATTTATTTTTTCTGTGATGACGGGTTTAAAAATGCTAAGACCAAATAAAGCTGCCTTTGGAGCTCCTTTTGGACTTGATCTTCTTCCTGAAGTTCGTCAACAACCTCCTCACTTGGGGAAAACTTTTGATTCACAAATGAGTGACAAAATCAACAGTGAAACAAATATCAAGAATTTAAAAAGAGATGAAATCACTGTGAAACCTTCCAAGGCCTCTGAACCTAACCTGGAAGAACTGCCACCTCTGAATTATTATTTACATGTATTTTATTACAGTTGGTATGGAAATCCAGAATTTGATGGTAGATACATACATTGGAACCATTCAATTCTGAAGCACTGGGACTCTAGAATAAACAAGAATTATCCACAGGGGAAACACAACCCCCCAGATGACATTGGCTCCAGCTTTTACCCTGAGTTGGGAACTTACAGCTCTCGGGATCCTTCTGTCATCGAAACTCACATGAAGCAAATATACTCAGCTTCAATTGGTAATTATTTTATTTTATGTGTGTGTTGGGGGGGGGGAAGGCTGTGCATATAAAATACATCATTTTCATATTACTAGTCTTCACATTATTAATTATAAATATAATCTTATAAACTCCAAATTAAACTGTATATATGTTCTTAAACATACAGGAAATCACCTTTTAACACTACTTTAAAGTATGGTTAATTTTCAAATTTTGTGGGACTTCTGGATTTTTTTTTTACTCGATTTCTAATTTAATACTATTTCGGATCTTACTAAATTTTGATTTACATAAGAGACAATGAATTCTCTCACTTTAAGTATACAGCTCAATGATGTTTTTCAAAAAATGTATACCTGTTTAAATACTACCCAGTCATGAAGTAAAATGCTCTGTAGCCCATAAAGTTTTGCCATGCTTCCGTTACTCAGCCGTACCCTTTACACTAGGAAACTGAATCTGATTTCTGTCCCTGTAGAGAAGTTTTAAATGTTCTGGTTTAAATGTTAAAAATTGAATTATTCATCATTTGTGGGGGGTGTGTGTGTGTGTGTGTGTGTGTGTGTGTGCGCGCGCGCATAGGGGGCTGCTATTTTGAAATTTATACATGTTAACATTATCAATAGTTGAGTCATTATTATTGCTGAATATTCTATTGTAATGATTATAACAATTTGTTACTGCATTCATCTTGGTGGACATTTAGGCTGTTTAAAATTATAGGCATGTAGCCAATAATTTGCTCCTGTTTTTACTTTTTTTTTTTTTTTAACTATGCTCATTTATATTTAGGTATGGTTGATTTTAAATGTGTTTCTTTTTGCTATTGGCATTCTGTTTATCACATCTGTACTGTTCCTTTCCCCCCACTTTCTGCCAAGTTCTCTTATATTGAATATATTCTATTTTATATTCTCTTCTGACTTATTACATGTATTTCTTCATTTTATTTATCTTATCATTGCTCTAAAGTTTACAATATGCACATTTAATGTAATGGATGAGAAATTACCACTATTTTCTTATGCTTGTCCCCCCCTTTTCTTCAACTCTTCTTCCCCTCTAACTTCTGGCTCTCAGAATACGTATTTAGATAGTCATGTTACCCTACTAGTAAATACATGAGAAAAGTTTTACTGAGTGCCTGAAAATTCTTCAGGTTATTAACATATCATTTATAAAAATCTCCCTGTTTTGGTTCCAATTGTCTTGTAAGTGTCCCTACCAAGAGGGCCATTAAGAGGAAATGGGGTGTTTTTACATTTTTCTTGTTCTACAAAAGGCACAAACTCACTATCAAGCTAATATGTTTATAGAGGTATGTAAGGCTTTTTCATGAATAAAACAATACAGAATTTTGTGACTCTGCATTAACTGTACAAGATGGTTTGCTTTTGTTCTGTGGGATATTTTTTCAACTATTTTAAACAAATCTAAGTTTCTGGTATATATTTACAGCTTTAGTTTCTACTTTCTATGACATAAAATATGACAAAAATTGGATTGATAAACTCAAGATAGCATTAACTGCTGCATGCATATGTTATCTATCTCTATTTACAGTTTACTTTTGGGAGGAAGACCTTTCAAATGCCTTTTTTCTATTTTCTGCAAAGAATTTGCATTATATTCAATCCTTTTTTATTTCAAGTTTGACTTGTTTGTGGCTATGAAGCCGTTCTTGATTGACAGAAAAAATGGATATTCATGCTAGTTTTAGTTTTCTTAGTGTGAACTAAACTGTATATAATGAGGAGTTTTTCCCCTTAGATCAGATGTATAACTGTATTATGTATATATACACACATATATGTAAAACTGTGTGTGTATATATAAAACTATATATAATATGCAAGCAATATATAAATGGCATACTGCATATGTTATAGATTAATTATGATTAGGGAGAAAGTTTCAGTTCATTTTCAGTTTTATGCCTAATGTTTATGAAGATCTTTTCCCCCTGTAAATTATTTACTTATATGTAATTTGTATGGACATGAATTATTTCAAAACATTGTCAACAATACAATTATTTTAATATTAAGTGTTGACCATTTCAATATTGATACAAATATTTCTTTGGCAGATTTTCTACCGGAGAAAATTAAAAAACAAACATTTGATAATAGAGAAAAGTAACATTACAGTGCTTCAGTAAATAAAGAAATTATTTCCTTATTAAATGTTGAATTATACTCATTTTTGAGATATAATTGTATTTAACATTGTGTAAGTTTAAAGTGTATAGCATATTGATTTGATATATTTATATTTCAGTGTGCTTGCACTTGCTGCATTAGTTGACCCCTCTATGCTATTACATAATTATTATTTATCCTACTGGTGGGAACAGTTAAGATCTAGTCTGTTAGCAAGTTTAATGTTTATAACAACTTATTGTCACTGTGTGTTAGAATTCTAGGTTGTCTTATTTATATATTAGTTACAAGTGTGTACCTGAAACATCTCCCTTTTCCCTACCTCCCATCTGCTAATAACCACCATTTCACTCTCTTTTGAGGTTTTCTTTTTTTTATTCTGTCTGAATAATATCCCATTGTGTGTATTTATATACCAACATCTTTATCCATTCACTCACTGATGGACACGTAGATTGTTTTCATATCTTGGCTGTTGTAAGTAATCTAAAGTAAACACGGGAGTCATATATCCTTTTGATAATCTGTTTTCATTTCCTTTTATATATACCCAGAAGTGGGAAAGCTGTGTCATATGATAGTTCTATTTTTAATTTTTTGAGAAACCTCTATACTGTTCTCCATAGTGGTTAAGCCAGTTTACATTCCCTCAAAGAATGTACAAGGGTTCCTTTTTCTCTACATTCTTGCCAACATTCATTGTCACCTGTGATCTTGACTATAGCTATTGTTAAAGGGTATGAAATGGTATTAATTGTGGTTTTGATTTGCATTTTCTGTGATTGGTGACTTTTAGCACCTTTTCATGTACCTGTTGGCCATTTGTATGTCTTTGGAAAAATGCCTCTTTAGTTATTTGCGCTACCCCCGCCCCCCTTTTTAAAGAAAACTTTCATGTTAACCCCTTATTCATTATATGGTTTGCAAATAATTTCTCCCATTCTGTAGATAGATGCTTTTCTTGTTTTGTTAATTTTTGCTTTTGCCGTGTAGAAGCTTTTAACTTTGATGTAGTCCCACTTGTTGAATTTTTCTTGTATCATTTGTGCTGGGTGTTATATCCAAAAAATCATTGCCAAGACCAGTGTCAGGGATTTTTCTTTCTATGTTTTCTTCAGGAGTTTGATGATTTCAGGTTTTATGTTTAAGTCTTTGGTTCATTTTGAGGGGATTTTTATGAGTGGTATAAGATAGGGGTCCGTTTTTTGTTTTTTTGGTATGTGTTTATCCAGTTGAAGAGACTACCCTTTCCCCATTGGGTGTTCATCCCCATTGGATGATAGTCTAGTGTGTATTTAGGGGGTTAATTCTGGGCTCTCTATTCTGTTCCATTAGTCTGTGCTTATTTTTATGCCAGTACCATACTGTTTTAATTACTATAGCTTTATTGTATTGTTTGAACTTAGGAAGTATGATAATTCCAGTTTTATTTTTATTTTTTCCTCAATGTAGCTTTGGATATTTGGGGTCTTTTGTGGTTTCATACAATTTTGAAGATTGATTTTCTTTTTATTGCTGTGAAAAAATGCCATTATATTTTGATAAGGATTGTGCTAAATTTATAGATGGCTTTGAAGTGGACGTTTTAAAAATATTAACTCTTTCAGTCCACGACATCAGATATCCTTTCATTTGTTTGTGTCTTTTCTTTCAGCAGCCTTGTAGTTTTCATTGTATAGATCTTTGGCTTTCTTGATTAAATAAATTGATTCTTAGGTATTTTATGTTTTTTGATCCTGTTTTGAGTGGGACAGTTTTACATGTTTTATTTTTTTATATAAAAATGCTACTGATTTCTATGCACTGATTTTATATCCCACAACTTTGCTGTATTCATTGATTAGATCCAACTGTTTTTTTAAGTCTTTGGGATTTTCAATATATATGATCATATCATCTGTAAACAGTGACAATTTATTTCTTCCTCTTCTATTTGGATGCTTTTTCTTTGACTGACTTCATTGTTGTAGGTAGTCCCAAAGAAAGCACACTTGCCTTATTCTTGATTTTAGAGGAAAAGCTTTCAATTTTTCTTCATTGAGTGTGATGTTAGCTGCGGGTTTGTCATATATTGCCTTTTGTATATTGAGGTTATATTCTTTCTATACCCAACCTATTGAGAGATTTATATTCTGAAAAAATGTGTTTTTTCAAATGCTTTTTCTGCCTCTTTTGAAGATGATGTAATTTTTAGCTTTCATTCTATTTATGTGGTTTATTACATTTATTGAATTGCATGTGTTGAACCATACTTGAATCCCAGGGAAAAATCCCATTTGGTCATGATGTATAATCCTTTTAGTAAGTTCGAAACTCAGTTTGCTAATACTTTGTTGAGGTGGTGGAATTTTGAGTAAGATTGTCTTGAATAAATATACAGATAAATATGGGAGAAGTTGACATTTTATTTATTTATTTTAAGTATATTTTATTAATTATTCTGTTACAGTTTTCCCATTTCTTCCTCCCCTTTATTCTTCTCTGCCCTGCACCCTGCTTCCCACCAGCATTCTCCCCTTTAGTTCATATCCATGGGTCATTTTCTCCATTTCTTATACTCTTCTTACCCTCCCCCTGTCTATTTTGAATCTACCATTTCTGCTTTTTACTCCGTGTACGTTTTCCCCCATTCTCCCCGTCCCGCTCCCCGCTGATAACCCTTCATGTGATCTCCATTTCTGTGATTCTGTACCTGTGCCAGTTGTTTGCTTAGTTTGTTTTTGTTTTTAGGTTCAGTTGTTGATAGTTGTGAGTTTGTTGTCATTTTACTGTTCATAGTTTTGATCTTTTTTCTTAGATAAGTCCCTTTAATATTTCATATAAGAAGGGCTTGGTGATGATGAAGTCCTTTAA